CCAATGGGAAATTGAAAATTTAGAGCCTTTTTGTTTAAATAGACTGCAAGGAAGGTCTCCCGTTGACAACATGGCTATGCATGCAGTTCATCGTTTCTAGTACATAGTTTGACTCGTATGAAAAAGCCTAAATATTCGACGGAGAGAAAGATGTTGCTAGTAACCAGGGGCACCTGCGCCCTCGCCTCCTCTCTGAACACCCCTCGCATCGGTGTCTTAGTCAAGTGAAAAATTGTCTAACTGAAGTGAAAAACACTGTAAAAGCGTCGTTATGGTGTCATTTTAATTTCGAAACTGCCATCTTTAGATTGCTCTAAAACATTATTCTCCAAAGCTAAAACAAGAACTTCCACTTAATCAAACAGTTTGATTAAGTTTAGTGGAAGATACCTACACATGCCATGGTTGGAACTCACGGTTTCAATACTTGATTCCAAGTGTTTTTGTATGCCCTTCTAACGATACCAAATTCTAAATTAACACGCAATTGCCTCATAAGATATAATCATATGACGGAAGGAACAGGGCACAGATGGCCACGCTTGGAACCAAGGGAATGTGCGCTGTTGTGCTGTACGTGGCACACCATTCCATTGAAGGCCTGCAGAATGGCATTGTTTTCGCAATTTCAAAGAGCGAGGGCAGTGTGACGGATTAGGAGGAACATAGAAACGACTTGCCACAAAGGTGATTACGCAGAGACAGAGGAGTGACCAAAAAACGTTCCCTTTTTTAGCTGAATACTTGGGCAACGGACAATATTGATGCGACTAACCTCGTCTTCTGTCTGAGGGAAGAATTACCATCTCACGCTTATATGCTTCGAGACCGTTTTAAGACAACAGTATTAGCAGCAGGTACTCAAACATTACATGCTTTTTTAGCCTCTGACCGACTAAGTACCTACTCGTGAATGTACTTTCCAGGGCTGAAAATGGTAAGGAAGTTAAAGTTCTGAAGGCGTAAGACATGGTACATGCTCTGTGAACTGATGTACCGCTAATTCGAAACGATTAGGACAGATAACTGGTGATAAGTGAAGCGCAGGTACGAGCCCATCGCTCTGTTGTTGTGTTATACCGGAGCGTGTTATGAAGGTCATGCACTAAAATGCTCATACTCTGTTGATATTCAAAAACCCAGAATGAAATTTGCAGTGTACATACGGGAGGTCATGACTGATGATTTCCTAAAATTTTAGCGAAATCGACTGTGGGAACTTAGGTCCAGGTCGTCAAGTTTCAAGATCATTACAAAACATTTAGGCCAAGGTCATAGCTTTCAGCACCGATTGTTACATATTATCTGATAGAGAATTGTATCACCTATCCAACGATACCAAATCCACGTATTCATCTTCATTATTAAGGGAGTTATGACAAGTATTGTGATCCCTGGGCCCAAAGTGCCCCAAAACTGTCGAATTTGTGATTGTCTGTCATTCTCAGAATACATAACGCATAGCGCTGAAATTTGTTGTAGTATGTTTTCTAAGTAGGTACTATCAGCATGCCGAATTTAATAAAAAATGGAGGGGGTCAGGGAAAAAAGTGTGCGGATTGACATGGAATCACCCCATTGCATATACATTATTTCAGCACATTGGTGGAACAGATACCCTCTTAGATCTTTGTCGATCCCATAAGTGTGCCTCAGAAGGTAATAAAGCACATGCAGAACGTTGTTTTATTACCAAGTTATATGTAACCAATTAGAACTAAATCATTTCCATATAACATACTAAAACATTGCTTCTTGTTCTGCATACCTCCAATGAACGGTTTACTCACAAATTTCTGCTGAACCGCAATCCGATTTTCTGTCCATTTTTTATGGATATTTAGACGCTTACTGCTGCACTTCTGTTAGTATATTTTGATTCCACTGTAGTACCAAATTGAAACTTAGTAAATTGATTGAGGAAAAATTGAGAATGTCATGTTAACATTTTGGATTAAAAAATTGAAAATGACCTTTCCCCAGGAGTAAAGGTCAAAGGTGAGACCTTTTGACACCTGACCTCTACTTCCATCCAAACTCCATGAAATGCATATACAGCAAAATGGCATTAAAATAACTTTAAAGTGGCACCACTGGACGAGGAAGTGACAATTTCTGCCAAGATTCAAATACCAGCAGCTCAAACAGCCCTTGGCTTGGGAGATAAAATTTGGCGTGGACTTTCTCAATTGATTCTGTAAGCTCATTGAAATTGGAGTAGGTCAGGTCAATTTTAAAAAGATTGGTCTTGATTTGATATGGAATAACAACATGGAAACCCCCTAATAATTCCAAATGGAACAATTGCTTTAAAAAAAAATTACAGTTAACTATGGCATAAAATCTTCCTTTTTTTTTCCACCATCAAACTTGTAACATTTTTTAATTAACTGCTGGAAAACTGAAAAATATTAAACACTCTTAAAACTTCAATAAATTCATATTTCCCTCGCTTTGAGGGAAATATGAGCTTTGCTCTAGGTATGCAAAAGCAGTTGAATGAGAGATTATAAAAAATTCCATCAGATAACTTGGATTGTAGGGATTATGTAGTTGTAGCTGTTATTAAAGAAATTTTGATAGGCAAGATTAGATGATTCTTGTAAAATTGGTTGTTCCATATGGCACCATTGGGCATGAAAGGGCTAAAACATTGGTGCTGACTTGAGTCTGAGTTTCTGACTACAAGAATCCAGTTCCACTATTACCCTGCAATTAAGGCATGGTAAATTCTAGGCATGAGGCGATGCAATTTCGTCAGATAATTTGATTTCATATCAGTCATATTTTACTAATAAAAAATGTTCCTCTAATTTTTATTCGGCTACTCTTACTTCATATAAGATTATTACTATATTTATCAAGTTGATTTTCATCAGAAAAAATTCATGGCATATTTACCAAATTAATTCCTGCCAACAGTAGAAAGTGTTAATAAACAGGATTGTTACAAAATAAGCAGTAAACCTTTAAGCTGCAATGAATGCACATCTATCTCAAATGGATGCATATCCTTGCAACCAAAATAGGTTTGAAAGTTCTGATATAAAAATTCAAGAGAACAGGCTGAATCCAGAAAGCAGAGTGGCCTGTCACACCTGTGTCATGCAATGCCATCTCTAAACAAAATCCTGCATTGTCAGGGGTTACCCTGCAAAATATGAGACAAGTGCGTCAAGCCATTCTGCAGTTATTGCAACTTAAAACTTCCCATTAAATTTATAACAATCCTGTAGTTTCACTTCACTGAAGCGAAAGAACTTTCAAAGAGTATTCTCCTTTTTCTGTCTGCACCTTACCTTCACCACCACCCAATGACCCTAATCTTCCCAACATCAACACCACCAGGTCACACGAATCAGTGATGATGTCAAAATGATTGTTTTCATATATTGGGTTGGAAAGAAAGTCTTGCAACACTTTCTAAAACTATTTATAAAAATTTTCAAAGGAATGATGGGCAGGGCTTTGCATTTGTATATGCTGGAATGTTCTCAAAGCTTCTGCCCTCGGGGTATATAAGGCGGCTTCTGCCATTAGTTGGCAGCCATGACTCCGATCGAACAAGCAACTCTTCGCCCCATCGTCTAATACGAGTTCCTCCAAGGACACTCTGCGAGAGTCGCTGCGGACAACATCTGCACTGCATTCAAGGGCAACGTCGTCCACTATTCCACGGTGTCTCGATGGTTGAAACGCTTGGAATCTGGCGACACGACCTTTGGAGATCGACCACGCTCAGGACGTCCATCTACAGTCGATGACGAAGCCCTGCGGAACGCCCTCAACGCGAAGCCGAATGCCACCACTCGCGAATCGGCGACTACACTTGGAGTCACCCATATGGCCATCGGCAACCATCTGAACGACCTCGGCTATCAGAAGGTTTACTCGACATGGGTCCCTCATCTGCTCAGCGACTCCGACAAAATAAGCCGTGTCAGTGTCTGAGAATCATTGCTCCTTCGTCCACACAGAAAGGACCTTCTGAAGGAAATCGTTACTGGAGATGAGAGCTGGGTCCTCGATGTCAACAATACTCGCAAGAGTCAGTGGCTTCCACGAGGAGAATTGCCGCCACACGAACCGAAACCAGGGTTCCAAGAGAAGAAGTTTCTTCTCTGCTGTTGGTGGGATTCAGAAGGAATGTTGTACTATGAGCTCCTGCCAACCGGTACCACCGTGACTGGCATCGTCTACGCTGCTCAACTTCAGAAGTTGGCTGGCGTCATTCAAAAAGAGCGTCCCAAACGCGACAAAGTTCTCCTTCTGCAAGACAACGCTCGTCCACATGTTGCGAAGATGACTCGCCAGACGATTTCGGAACTGGGCTGGGAAGTTTTACCCCATCCAGCGTATTCTCCGGACTCGGCCCCTTCCGACTATCACTTGTTCCGGGCCCTCAAGAATCACCTGCGGGACAAGGCCTTCGACGATCGAGCACAGCTCGAAAATGATGTCGGCCGTTTCTTCGCTTCGCAATCGCCAGAGTTCTGAGCAAAGGGCATCGAGCAGTTACCCGTGCATTGGGAACATGTCATAGACAACAATGGTCATTACATTGTTGACTGAAATTTCATTTCAATAAAGTTATAAAATTTTGAAAAATTTGCGCAGAGTGTAGCAAGACTTTCTTTCCAACCCAATACATTTGCTTGGGACTTTAGTCCAGTCTGTTTTAATTACAAGAAATTATGAAGAAATAGAAGTCCATCTTACATAGGTTACATTAACATTGCTCCATCACACCCAATGAGGCTGTAATTCATTTTTACAACAGCCAGAGTCCCATCTGAAGTTGATCACTTAGTTGCTACAATAGTGGCCTGCATACCAGCACCAACAGTCATCATCATGGGTGGGGGGTTCTCTTGGTCTTTGAATAAAATTCCTCTTCTGATTTGCAACTTTCAGCAAGCCAGCCTGATGTAGTGATATCTGCACTGACTAAATGCATTGATACCTAAGCATATTTTCAGATGCAGTAACATCATGCTCACTCAAAGCTGATCGAAAATCCACATGCTTTCAGCCATCATCATCATCAGTCTTAGATGAACATAGATGATGCAGTATGCCTCAGAAATGATCTTATCCTGGAAATTTAGAAAAGGCCTAATTCCAATGATGGAAAAGGAAATTAAATGCCAGAAGCAGCACCAATTCTTTTTAGGAAATGACTTCTCTTTTTCCTTGCTTCCCCTCCTTTTCTTCCACAAACAAGTAGTCTGACTGTATCCCTCACCCTTTTGTGCAATGTCTTTCACAAGCTAGACCATCTGACTATGACTATCTTTTCCCCCCCACCTGGTTCTCCTGCAGTCATCCTTGGAGTTTGGGATATTGATTTACCAAAAGAAGGAAACTCCAAGCAAACTGAAAACTATAGTACTTAAAACACCCAAGCCCACCTTGTTGGGTTCTTCAAGATCTTCCCAGGCAATCCTGAAGAGGTGCTTAATCTCCTCAGCCAAACCAATGCGAGCACCGGAATTGGCAGCCAGGTAGATTCGAGGGATCCCAAGACTTCGTGCAAGTTGTGATGCCTTCAGGAACAATTCATCTTCTCCAGGACCAAATGATCCAATTTGATGGGTGATGTCATTGGCAATGACGACAAGATCACGACCCTCAGGATATTCTGGGGTATGCAATCGCATCTTCCATGCGACCATTCCTACCTATGAGACACAGCAAAACAAGTCCAGGTAGAGAAAGAAACGGGCAAGGAGGAAAAGGATGAAATGGACAAACTTGGTTCTCTCCTGGGAGCCGCTTTTGCTCAATGACATTTCCCATTGACTTGTCCATCACCAATTCCACACATGTCATCACTGTCCCTGGGATCTCCAGCTTAGCTAAGCATACGATCAATTGGAACTTATCACAGGTTGCAAAAAAGAAGCTGCTTCCAGTTTCCATGGAGAAAGGTACAATTTACCTTGGGGGTGAGACTGAGAAAATTTGTGCCACTGACGTTCCACAGATTGGCGGAACATGTCAGGAAAATCATAAACATATGTTGTTCCATTGCTCTGTGCATGAAATCGCTTCAGTTGCAGGTAGTCCTTGGTCATGTATGGGGCAGAGATGGGAAGTCCATTAAGAGCTCCCTGTTTCCCACCAAATGCCTCAAACCTCATCTGAATTGATAAGAGAACTTAGTGAAATAGGCAATGATCTTGGTGGAGCATATTCCATTATGAGAAAAAAACTCACCACTCCAGTACGAGGATCAGGGACCTCCTTGTACAAGCAAACATCCAAATAATAACCACTCTCATTAGCAAGGCACAGACGAATGGGAATGTTCTTTGAAGAAGGGCTTGTCCGAATATTAATCTTCAATTCTGCCTGAAGGACTCTAAGCTTCCACAGCCGAGGTCCATATCTCAATACCATGGACCTCACACTCTCTTCTATCTGTTTGAGCAAGAGAAAGAACCCCAGTGGTTGAATCAGCAGCACGGTTGTATAAAGTGCATTTATGTTGGAAGAAACTAGAGGAGTACTACTTTATATCAGTAATGGCAAGAAAAGCCCAAGGGAGAATGGATTTTCTTTATTCTAAAGAGGGGTAAATAAAACGTTTCAGTTAAAAATATCAAAACACAAGCACAAGTTTTCCACATTATACTATGTGCTTCCACACAGATGGCTGAACAAATGAACTAATTAAGCATTAAATGCCAGAACTATTGGAACCATTGACAATCTTCCTCAATCTCTGCTGGGACATAGGATTGTACCCAGAGACATGGAAAATAGGCCTTGTCATAGACTGACATTCACCTTATCCCTGGCTTTCCTATAGAGATGGAAGAGCTTCCTGTGATTTCTGCTCAAATGCAAATAAGAAACATTTCTACACAGCATCTGGTAGTTGTAATTTACAGAAGTTTGTATTTTGCAAATTTGAAAATGTCCTAGGGCTATTTATCAGGTAACCACAAAAGTTTTTGCAGTTTTTAATATTCGTTAAAAAAGATCAAAATTCGTATTAAAAACCAATTTGATTCAGCGAAATAGTTTCCATTTGATTCAATCACCTTTTCCCATCTTGAAACAAGCTTATAAATACCATTCTTATAGAAGTCCCTGCTTTTGGAAGAGAAGAAAGCCTTTATAGCAAGTTCTTGGCATGTTCGACTGCTATCCTCTTCAATGGCAGATCTTCAAGGCTTCATTGTCAAATGGTCACAGGACAGCCGCTACGTAGTGCATCTTCAAGTGATTCATCCCCGATTCTGAATTTTTGGAACCAATTTTTTGCTGTGCATTCCTTTACAGCATCCTCTCCAAATGCTAAACATATTCTTCTAGTGGCTTCTGCAGCAGTGTTACCAAGTTTAAACTCATAGAGTAAACAACATCTGATAAGCTTCGACAACAACTCCATTTAAATATTTCCTTGGCTTTACTAAATTAGATGATATTAACACGCACATAAGATATAACAAATGTTTAAGCTATGGGTTGTTTTAAGAAAGCAGTTATGCCTACTACCATTAGTATCTTTTAACTTAGTAATGATAATATAATATGACACATAAATGGCAAAAACTTTTGTGGTTACCTGATATGTCAAAGAGAAAATGTTGGAAGTAGTCCTAAGGCTGCTGGATTGAATATCATGCTGTTTGGTCATGTTAAATCAAAGAAAAAACATTGACTGCTGGGCTTGACCTTTTTTGTGCAACTTTGCAAGATTTCATTATGCTTCAATTGCAATGGGACTCTTTCTTGTCAGACCTGAGAGTCCTGGGAACCCTTAAGGCAAGAAAATTTGTGCAATCCCTGATTGCACAGCAGTTTTGTTTTATCAAACTCAAAAGAATGGCAAAACACCTACTTTCAAAATTTCTCTACACGCCTTGCATAATTAAGGCATTATAGGGTTAATTCCTCATATTATTTCCCTTGGTATTGACAACTTAATCAGGACTTCAGTATAAATAGCTCTTGAGTTACAGGGATATCAACATTGGAGGTTAGCAGGACACCCTAAATATTGATCACTATATTTATCAACTGATCTAATGAGGCTGAAACATGACATTTTCATGTTTGGGAGCAGGAAAACCCAGTATACCAAATTTAATACAAATTTGGGATAGTGCAATAATTTGTCAGTTTTGGGGGCCATTTTTCACAGAATGACACTTTTGTAACACAACCAGTATTGGAAAAATTCTATAAAAAAAACCCTCCATTATGGAAAACATCTAGATGCATACATGATGAGGAATACACAACAGTAGCTGTAACTATTTTTCAGAAGTAAACTTTCCAACAGTGGCACATTTCTTTCCCTGCACCTGGTATTGAAGGTTCCAATGAACCACAAAATTGTTCAAGCTGTTCTTTCCACAACCTGAGTCTTATTTGAGGTTGACACAATGTGAATTGGGTTCCTCTTGTTCCACTGTCACCATCAAGTAGATGAATCTACCATGTCCAAATGATAAATTATCTTAATGATGAGAATAGCCTGGATGAGGTCTCCCTTATTAGTCTCCTTTTGAGCAAGAAGAGGCTCAAAGTTTCTGAATGCTTCTCATACAAATGTCCTTGTACTTATTTCATTTTTCATTATTTTTGCAGCTTGCTTCTGAACCCTCTTGAGCATTGTCAGAACACTTTTATTTTCAAGCTTCCAAAATTGAACACAATGCTCTAAATCAGTGGTCCCCAAACTTTTCAAGGTGAGGGCCGCATGGACGCTTTGGTCCACTTTGAGTTGGGGCTCATGTAATCGCATTAATTCTAGATGCTGCTTTGTTACAAATTGTATTTTCGATAAATACTTCTCTCTTTTGCCTTAACTTCAATCACTTGCGAGGAAAGACATTTTTTCTCTGCAGTATATGGAGGTTCCAAATGTTAGGCATTTAGTAGGTGCACACCAAAACACATAAGCAGCTCAATGTAAACATGTATTATATTTACCTAAACATCTAAGCAACAGCTAAATTTGTTAGTTTTCAGGAATTATTAGTAAGTGATAGTGGGCCACACTTTGAATACCACTGCTCTAAATAGTCTAAATAATCTCTAAATAATCTAACTAATGCTGCATTTGAGTCTCTTTCCCCATTTGCACCCTCCAGCTTATTGTCACTGAATGCATTAGAAACCTATAATTACTATGACAGATGTGAAGGATTTTGTATCTACTCTTTGTGAACTACAAGAGCCATTTGTTTCTCCACTTATCCGAAAGCTATAAATCTGTCTCAGCTCTAGCCCCAAACCTCCATCCACTTTCCAGATAACGAAACCTATTTTTGCATAGTCAGTGAACTTGCTTCTTTTGCTTGTGAGGCCTTCATCTAAATCATTAAAGCTAACTAATTATAGAAGCCATCCCAGGACTGAACTCTTGGGGATTCTACTTGCAACTCCTACTTCTGCAGACAATTTTCCATTTACAAATACTCTCCGCTCTCTTTTGTCTTTCCAAAGATAGCATCTTTCTTTAAGAGAGTTCTGTATTAGAGGTCCATGGAATGTTTCATTTTCTAGTCACAAAAGATGCGAAGGGTAGTGAAATTCACATCACAGAACAGGAAGTTTATGACAAAAATTGCAACTGCAATAAAGTGTGTAAGAGAGGCTGGCAACAGTCAAAGGAAGATGTGAAACCAGAGTTTTGTGCATTGTGCATGTGCTGGGGCTGAGCTCTTTGATCTTTGAGAGAGATATCCTGTTCTGAAATTTTCTGAAAATTCTTTTTGCTCTCATGATAAATTGGCAATACAAAACCAATTTGTCTTTGAAAAGGTCCTATAGTTACAGAAAGGTAGGAAAGAAGGCAAACAATCGTGATGATGCATCTGAAGGCAAAAGACCAAGTCTCTCACCTTGGAAGGATCCATAATGACACAAGGCACAAAGTTCAGGAAAATATGATTGCAGTCTGTGCGTTTGGCCAAAGGATGAGAAAAAGCCACCTCCAGTTCATCCATGGCTTCAAGAAGAAGTCGTTCTCCTTCATTTTGCATGTATTCAAAGGAAGCTTCTTTGGTGACCAAGTCACTGTGTCGGATGATGGATCGCACAAAGAATCGGTAGTCAGTCACTTCCTGACCTTTGGCCACCTAGGATCCAATGGTATATGCAAAAATGAAATACACACAGTCAGGATACAAGGAATGAACTGATCTCAGGTATGCATCCAAGAGGAAGGTGCAGACTTCTATCATCTAAAAGTCGTCACCTCTCTAGTTTGGCCACCACTTTATCCCCCTGGTTCACAAATTCTGTGACTAACCCCTCTGATCCCATGGAATATCCAAGATGTGTCCTTGAACTGTCTCCTCACCTTAGCCTTTCCAAGGTACAGGTGCATTTTCTGATTAGAAGTGGGAAGGGCTTCCAAGTTGTATGTGCTCATACGATTGATCTCCAGCTGGAAGGCCAGAGACGGTTCAAGGTGACGGTAGATGCGATCCTCTATGAATCCATCCCTCGCTCGGAAAGTAAAATATTTTGGATGGCAGTATTTGACCAGGAGAACAAATGTTATGCGTCTCACTGAGAACTTCTTCAGAGAGTCAAGGTGAGCCTGACAGAATTCTTCACAGCAACAACTCAAATGTTTGTCATCACTTTCATGATTCAAGCGGACTGCCACATTCAGAATGAAGGATGGTTCCTCATTCTGGAATGACAAAAACATTTCCTAATTCCATCAGTGATTACATCAACAATCCTCTTGCATGAGAAGGGAAAAGGGAACTCACCTTAACTTTGGCATTGGAAGCACGATCCACAAAGCCACTTGTGGGTCCAAGGCTGAGTGAATTTCTGTCTGGGGGGCTGAATGCTTCTGAATTATCTAAAACAATTCGGGGGGAATAGGTCTCACTGTCAAGGAGCAGCTCCATGAATTCCTGGAAGTGTTCCCCAAGATCCTGAAAGTTGGTGAATGCAGCCATGACACCCATGCGGATGCAGCTGTCACATTCCAAGGCTAAAGCATGGGACAGAGATAATCTCTCCAGAGGTCCTGATGAAGGTGATCCTCCTGGCTCTTCCTGACTGGCAAATACTCGAGCATGTACAACCCTATGTTCAGTTGAGACATGAAGAAAAGGATGTAGAGCTTGAACTCAGAATTAATAGTGTCAAACTCTAGCACTATCGATATGCCACAGGCACGAACAAGCTATGAGCACTCACTCACCTGTTGGGGTGAGATGTTGGAAGGAGGAAAGAGAACTGAACAACACATGTTTCCAGCCCGATGTCTAGATGCCGGAGGCAGTGGATCTCATATGACACATATGCCCTCCTGACATATACCTGTACCAAAGGAGAGATATTGTAAAGCCAGAGCAAGTCAATAGTCATAACCATGGCTGCATATGCTTTCAATATCCTGTAACATTCAAAATCCTGTGACTATTTCAAAGAAGAAACTAGATGCTTTTATGGACAAGCAAGAAGGAGGGCAATGTTGACTTAAGGGACTAGGCAATAAGTTACTAGAATAAGCTAAAAAAAATCACAAAACTCACAAAAATACAAAAATATTTAGCTTAAAGAAGAGTAGGCCTACCCTAAAACTAAGGAACGCTCGACCTCGATATGTGGTATCCCAATGGGTGTTACCGCCTCTTGATACCACTAAACAACCATGAAACATTGCCAACTTTTAACAATAAGATAACATCAGAACTAAAGATCGACCAATATATCGGTTGCCGATATGTGCATATCACTGAGTATTCACATTGGCTCTTTCATGCATTCCGATTTTGGTCGATATCAATAATACAGTTCTGCATAATCTTCCAGAACAAGAAAATATGACTAGGACTGGCTCTTCCGCTCCCAAATGGAAACCCTGGCTTAAGAGTGTTGCGTATGCGGATTCGAGAATCGCGTGTGGATCCTGGTCACGTAATGACATCAGTAAAAATCCCTTCTGCATCGCGCACTGCTTGGACATCGATGAAATTGAAGCATTTTCGATTGATTAAAGTTGTCTGGGCATTCTATTCGAATACGACAGTCGTCGATGACACCAATCACTCCTGGAAATTCGACAATATCAATTAATTATCTTCGAACAACTACGTTTTTCCTCCTAGGAATGTGGTGAGAGAAGAAAATGGGCAATAGCTTGCGCCATTCCATTTCTAGGAATCGATGTCACATAAAATCGAAGGGTCAGCATAACATGCAACTCGAAAGGCTTTCATGATACTCTCTTTACTTTCGAGTCATATTAATTAATTACTCAGGGGATGGGTACTTGAACAAATCACGATTCATTGCACACGAACAGTGATTGCTCTTATCTCTCGATGTAACGTTAAGGGATCCTTTCCTCGATCTTCGTTCCTTTCGAGTTCGGCGCGAAACAGGTCGACATCATACCCTGATCCCTTTCCAAATTGGTATCTCACGCGGAAGATATCCTCATATTCTTCAAAGGCATTACGCCCAGAACCTATGTTTATTCCTCCCATGCGACCACGAGAGCACATCGCTGTCATCGAGCGGATCCATAAACAGAATCCATTGTGCTTCACCAGTACACTGCAGCGCTATACTCAGTACGCTATACTCACGAGTACACGAACGCTGCCATAAATATCGGCAAAACATGCCCCATCCCTTGTCTGAAAAAGACACCTTTTTCAGCTTCTGTGAGACATCGGTTAGACAATGGTTAAAGGAAGATATCGTTCATGCAATCCTATTTTGGTCTAAGACATCGGTTAACCGATGACTTTAAAAAAACACTGGGAAAACATCGTTCATGCAATCGGCCCTAAATTTCGCGCTTCCCCATAGTAATATTCGCACCCTCCAGTTCGCGCACCGCTTGTCTAGGCCATTTATAGTGGAACGGCTCGCTGACGTCATCACATGCGCAAGGTATTTTAAGTCCATCCCAGTTGAACTTCGTAACTCCGGCATTGCCCGTTTCATGGAATCTCATTAATTTTTTGTTGTCATCACCCTGTCAAAACGTCGGATAGAGGCTCGAGGCTATCAGTGGCGCACCTAATCCTAGTACTCGTCAGGCTTCTCATCAAAATTAATAAAATCATTCAAAGGTGATGGCTACCCTTTACGAACATTGTCCTTGTTTGCATCACGTGGAGCTCCTGTGAGCTCCACGTGACGCAAACAACGAGGTGGCCGTTATGCACACAGCCGCTGTTGAAAACGAATATTTTTAGTGGTTCTTGGCAATTTTAACGGCATAATCCAGATGATGTGTGAAGCTACTTCTAATATCTACACATGTAATCAATGACCATGTACATTCCAGCGGCCGTCTTTGTCTTTGGTGGGAATTTCAAAAGCAAAATACGTAGCCTTCAAGGGCTTCAGTCTGACAAATGCAAATTTAAAAAATTGAATATCAGCCTGTAGGAAAAATAATGAAACTACCACAAGAGTTACTAGAATAAATATTGAATAGAGACAACAATTGAGGTCACATCATAGCTTTAATTTCTATTCCACAGATATAGTCAGTCAAGGTGATATGAAGAATCGGCTAGATATAATTGCAAGGAAAGGTACAAACGAGAAGTCGCGAGACCTCATGAATTCATGAGAAACTCATGAGATCTCATGTTCAAAATTCCCATGAGATCCTCGTGAGAATCTCATTAAGATTTTTTTAAACTGAGACATCATGAGGCTTTTTCAGCAGGACTGAGACACATCTAAGAGCACAAATACTATTCTCAGAAGGAATGTCGTACTCTGAGCTCCTGCCAACCGGTACCACCGTGACTGCCGTCGTCTACGCTGCTAGAGGGATGGATTCATAGAGGATCGCATCTACCGTCACCTTGAACCGTCTCTGGCCTTCCAGCTGGAGATCAATCGTATGAGCACATACAACTTGGAATCCCTCTGGAGTATACTGTATCATGTCCAAGGATTAGAGCGACAGTCTCAACTCTGGCTCTGCCAACCGCCAGAGGCACTATCAATGTTAGCAAACGAAAAAATTCCCTTCCGATAATCCCACACTATAATTAAACTGGTAATATATCCGGTAGAGTCGAACACATCTAGAGGCATGTTATAAACTTCATGGAAGTCTGTAGTAACGAATGTGGCATTATATGGACCTTTTGCATTGGTGTCACGTAAAGGTAGGCAAAATATGAGCCTCATGGGCTTGTCAAAAATTTTCATTCTCCTCATGCATTACCTTAAAGGAACACGTACAAGAAGAAAGGCAAGAAGCAAAGGTCTAGAGAGGAAATCAAAGGGACAAAACTCTGGTCATGAACTCAATTCCATACAAAATAATTTTTATTTTAGTTTTAGCCCATTTATAGCCACTCAAACTCGTCGTACTTTATTTTTCGTCTTTGGGGGTATTTTCATTTACTTTTTTTGTAGTTTTGTCTTCTAATTTATGTTGGACTTAATCAGGAATCAAACAAATTCAAATTGTAACTTTCTATTTCAGTCATTTCATTTCAGTTCATTTGTTTTCATTCTCATGATTCCTTCAGAATTTCAATGGATCTGCTACTCATTATAAAACTCTCACCCAACTCATTTTCCTTGAAGCTGGAACAATTTTGGAATTCACTCGGCATTCACTGATGTAACCAGCACACTGTTGAGCTACCGCGCGCTAATCTCGTCTGTGGTCAGATCCCAATCTAGCAAGTCTTAGTTCATAGAGAAAAAAATGTGGCTTCAAAAATTTGTTTAACAATTCGAAAACGAATTGTTTGAACTTACGCTTGAATAATATTTTCAATGTATAATGTTGCAGCCGGAAATTTTTGTCAATTTTTATTTCCGTTTCCATGAGAGGATTTATTTTCCATTCTCACGAACGAAAATTAAAATATTTTCCTTATATATTTCTCGGTGCAAACACGATTCAATGCAGGGCCTAGACTATTCCTTTCCATAAAAGTTTCTGAAGCTTTGCGAAGCAATTGATCAGACACAGAAACCTTATTGAAAGTTCTGCCAGTTGTTCCATAAGCCAGAGGAACAGATGCTTGTGTAGGTAAAATGGTATAGAACGTGAAACTACCCGACTTCCCGTACAAAAACGTCAACGGTAATTCAACGGAGACCACTGTTGAATTCCAGAATTCAATGGCGAATCACCATTGATTTGCTGTTTCAATTTCAAAATGTTGAGCTTTTCCTGTTAGGGCTACGCCTTCCTGTTAAATGTGTGGAAAATTGCAATGAACCTCTCCAGCGGACCTAACAGCGTTTAGATTGTGAAGGCCTTCTAATGGGCCAATATCGGAATCGGCAAAATCGGTAAAACCCAGTATCGGTCGATCTCTAATCATAACTGCACCTCCAGCAACATAAGCACTTAAATTACACATTAATCCAATGGACATTAATCCAAGTTCCTAGTTCCAATGTCAGGAACTATTTAATCAATTTCATGATGCTATTTGACACCAGTGCTTGAATTGAGATGAGACACACTGGAATGGCATTCTGGATCTCGTCTAAAATCAAGGAACCAGCCTAACACTCTTCAGTATGGAGTGCCTTGAAACACAAGCCTTTTTGAAGTCAAGTACAGCCATTGTGGCAACAGGAATCCTCTCACAAGGAATGAATTTAAAAAAAGTGGGGCTTAAGAAATGTAATCGCTTAAGAAAAGTAATCGATCAATCGCGAGCCATTTAATCGATCAACCGTTCGATTAATCGAATTTTAATAGATTCCTTAGTTCCTCCTTGAATCGTGTCCTGGGCGTTGGGCATGATTCTGCTTGTGTCATGCCCAACACCTAGGCAAGCCTCAGGAAGTGACTCAAGGTGATGCAGTCGCTAACAGCAGTTAATATCCATACATATACTCGTTCAACCTACATGTGACACATTCCAATCGGAGAGAGAATAGTTACAACGTAGCTAGATAAATAATGATGCGTAAGCAAAGAAGCACACTGATGCCCTTTGCCATTTAGCCAACCCATGCTGGAAGGATGCAAAAATTTAACCTAAATGATTGGAGGTATAATGTACAACACAGATGAAAGAGCAGAAAAAGCAAGGAGCAGGGGAGGGTTTCACACTTTCATTTCCTCCTCTCCCGCCTGCTCCTGGCTTTCCCCCTCTCCCGGTTACTTTCCGGGGCTCCCACAGAACTTCGCTGGCGCACTTAGATGTACGCGTCACACGCCCCAGTCTAAATTATCCTCTTTCCTGCCTCTCCTGTCCCATGTCCCCTATTCCTTCTGCGCGTTCCCAAGCAGCTTCTTAATTATATTCTTTTCTCCATTCACATCCAATGACTCCTCGGTCGCTCTAGGCCTTGCCTGACACGAGAGGACTGCAAGGCAGGATGCGTACCAGTAGGTTTGCGGATGCAAATGGATCAGGAAGCTTCTTAGGAATAGTCTGTAAGAGATGGCTCTTTTTGCGTGTTCTCTTTTTCTAAAAAAAATATTAAGTGAGGAAGAGTGAGCAGTGCAAAACGACTACCTTCCATAAGCAATCATTACAATTCATTCCCTCGGTAAAGCATTCGTTTTCGGTCGTTTGGCAAAAATCTTAACACAGTTGAATTATAAGGGAAAAAAGAGGCATTCAGAGGAAGATTGGGAGGTCCATTAAAATTCGATGAATTTTGACTAATTTTTTAATCGCGATTAATTCTTTAATCGATTGATCTGTCGATTAATCTAATTTAATTGGCAACCCCAAAAAAAGTAAAATATACTTATGGTAAAAAAAAAAAACAATCAAGAAGGCATAGAGCAATCTTGATGAAATCTGGTACACAAGCTCATACTAGCATACTATATTAAGTCTATTAGAGTTTGACCAAGTGATCAATTTTGGGTCAAGTCATCATCACTTAAGTGCTCATAAGTTTTGCTCTAATCAACATAGAAAGCTGATACTTGTGTCATTTTAAAGGTCTCATCGTGCCCTTTTTAATTATTTGTAAATCAAGGGCTTTAAATGAAAATAAAGGTCAAAGGGTCTGACCTTTGACCTTTAATTTTAGAAAAAACGTTACTTTCATTTCCTTTGAAAAACTACACAACATTCTCAATCTCTCCTGCATTAGTGCTCAAAATTTCAATGTGGGACTGCAATGGGATTAGGAGTTATAAACAATAGACTGACAGAAGGTACATGAAAATCCCCATATAATTGTCTGAAAGCAAAAAATACCCAGTGAAAGTTAAATGACCAGAACTCGTTTACAAAAACATCAAACTAAAACTGGACCAAGTTGAAGGACACTCCATTATTCATGACTGAAGCTTTCCAGTTGCAAAATCATCTCGCAGGACAATGACTTTCTCTTCTTCTGAAACAGATGAGAAGGAATACGCTTTGGTAGGACTTTTTCCTTCGTAAATGTAATGAAAGAATGAATTTTTTTGTGTTCCAGGAATCGTGCGTGATTGCATACATTTTTCTTAAAGGAACTTTGCCTCCCTACTGTAGTCTTCCAAGCTGAAATACTTAAAGAAAATGACTGGGATGTTGGGATATTGGCATTGATATTGTCA